GGAGGAGGAGGAGGGGGTGCATAGGGATAACGAGAAGGGACGGGGGACTTATCCTGCCCTATTGCATGGGGCGATGAAAGATGTCCACTTAATGCTTGCCCCACCACCCCTGGTGAGCTGGATGTCACCGTCATGTTATTCAGAGGGCGCAGAGCTGGGGGCGGAGGCAGATTGGCTAGCACATGCGGAAAAGTCGCAGCAGCGGAAGGAATGATTGATGGGGAATTGTTTGGGGGTGTCTTCTGAGGAGGCATGCCACCTGCCACAGAAGCTAATGAAATAGGAGTAGTGGGAGGTGGGTTGTGCTTAGTACCGAGGGATTGCTCACGCCCACTTGGTGCTGGAATCCCCACTCCTGCACTCACAGCTTTCGGTCCCAGTTGGACCACATTAGCATTGGGGTACAGAGAAGCATGCATTGTGCAGGATGAAGAGGACGAAGACGAGGGGGAGGAGGACGAGTTGGTAGAAGGAGTGGGAACTGGGGGGGCTTGGCCCTGCGCCTGGAAAATTCTTGAAGCCTGGGCTTCAATTTGAGATTGGTAGCCACTTGGGGGGCCCTGAGGATGAACCTCCCCTGATAAGCTGAAGTTGGATTCTGGGGGACGCGTAAGGCCCTCTGGCAGAGGAGCTGGTGAGGGGCTCTGGGGAAAGAGTGGAGGGTGATGATAAGAGCGGGAGGGTCCTTGTGAAAGCACAGAGGAGGAATCAGAATCATTCTCCACACTGCCAGGGCTGTAGACGCTGGGAGAGGTGCTTCGATTATCTTGGTCAATGTCTCGTGGGTCACTGCTTGTCTCATCGTTGAAGCTATGGCCATCTAGGCTGTCCACATCTGAAGGAGACTGTGGTCTTGGCAGCTCCTAGGATTTAAGAAAAGCAATGAATACTCAGCAGATACTCTTTCAGGATATTAAGAGACCTTGTTAGGTAAGCTATGGAGCTATGTTAAAAGAAGAATTGCATTCGGGTATAGGAAATGCTGCCTCATTTGTGTGTGAATAATCAGCTATATTGACAAGCAATGGAAAATACAACCACAACTGTCAAATATGATAGAGCAGAGGTGAATACCTAATAGATTAATAGAGTTGGAAGGGACCTTCTAGTCCCTTCCAGCTCAATTCCCTGCCCAAGCAGGAAACCCTAGACCATTTCAGAATTGGTTGTCCAATTTCTTCTTTAAAACTTCCAGGGTTGGAGCATCCACAACTTCTGGAGGCAAGTTGTTCCACAGA